TGAAACAAAGTACTATGAAACAGTCCTACAGTGAGAAGATTCCTTCATTTAGCCCAAACAATGCGCTCCTTACACATTCATTTGCCCGTCACACCTTTCAGATGACAAATTTTCCAATCTTTGCTGAGCTCAAGAGATGGGTTAGCGGGTACCATCGATACGGCCGGCATCCTGCTATTGGTTAATGTCGGGAAACTTGGACGATATTGAGGTTGCCGGCTCCTCAGACTTCTTCTTCTGAATCCAGAACTCCGACGCCCGATACCTCCGCTATGGAGACTTCCTTTTTTGAGGCGATAATCGCCTCCTCTGCCCTTTTGCCTGCAGCTATTGCTTGGACTACTTCTGCAAAACTCCCTTGTTTGACTTGTCGAATTATCGCAAGCTGCTCTTTCTTCACCGGGCCGGATTTGTTGAGACTGGCTTGGCAGTCCCGTGAGTCCGATCGGTGAGTTCCTCCACAATTTTGACATCTAGTGTTGTAATGGAAGTTGTATAGATAAGCGTAAGCTGTCTGGCTTGTATTTAATATCACCTGGTGAAGCGAGTTGGGAAATTGAAGAGTCTGAAAACTATAGTGAAGCGTTGTTGATTAAACCCACTTAGTATCAAAGCGCTATTTAAACTTATTACTACATCTAAGTGAAGGAAACGATTCACTTGTTTATGCTAAATAATTGGGAGGCTGGTCAATGTATGAGTCGTCATGAATGTGGCTAGTAATAATAGATTCTTATTACGTTCCATATTAATGCGACTCTTCATTGCCAAGTAGCGCCAATTTTAACACTAGTGGAGGCTTTGCACTGCTTTCGAGTGCATTTTTGATCCGCAGTTCCAGCAAGCCGGAGCGAGGCAGCAACCGCGAGAGGCATGGAAGCCAAGACATCGATTGCAATGAACTATTTTTTGACGAGCTTGGAAGAGCTTTGCAGCTCCGGAGTCATCCAAGAGGCGAAATCCAGGTTAGGGCGTAGATTCGTGAGAAAAAAGCGCTTGCCAGTTCTAGTATGGCGCCCCGGGCTTAATGGTCCCATGAGGACGAACAAGAAAAGGGACTGATTTGGTCACTCGCAAGCATGCCTGATATTTTTTGCGCTAGACCAGATGTTTACGCGGGAGCCCTCGGGCTAACTCTCGAGTTGTTCAACATTGCATTGGGGGGCTTTTTTCGAACTGGTGGCATGATGAAAATGCCAGGGACACAATCATACTTTAATGAGTGAAAGCGACGAGTGCGAGAAGGATGAAAGGATGAATAAGGGAAGTTTCGAATGTTCGAATTTCAAAATATTTTATCTATATGTGTCTATTTGTTGTACTTCGAGCCGGAAAAGACGATTCTTCACCTTCCAGTGGTGCCGGTGTAATCGCTCAGTATACTCTGCATATCTGGGATGTTTAAGAAAAATCGTATCCAAATCGAAGTCGAAAGCAATCTCAAACATATCTCTATTTGACGACTTGTCCACAATGCCTCTCTTGTCATTATCATCTAAGTCTTCAAACTCTCTCTAACCACGCATCATCTCGTCTCGACAACCAATAAAGTAGTTGCTCCCATTGCATACAGTAGCTTTCCCCATTAATTTCCAGCCATCTCTCACTACACATTTACGAAGCTATTTAAACCCGCAAAGAAGAAAATCAAGTCGAAAATACAAAGCCTGGGTCTTGGCTCATAGGGGACTATTGCTCTGATGGGATAAACAGTTTGAAGGAGAATAGGCGGCACAGATGTGGAGCTAGGGGGGAACAGGTATCTGAGAATTATGCGGGGACTGACATTTTCGAGGTGTTTTTAATTTTGGAACGTTTGTGGGCGCTAAGACGAAGATTTTTGCTAATTAGCCAGGAGGGCTTCTATTGTCGATGAACCAACAGCGCTCTCTAGCACCTTGGACGGCACAAAAGAAGTTGGGCTAAGCTACTATACAGCAATCACTCTCTGTTAAGACTTTTCTAAAATTTCAGCACGATCTTCGGGAAGGAGTTGGACAGAGGTTTGAAATGGGGAGAAGGAATTTCCCGAGGTACCCACAAGTCTGCAGCGCTCAGCTGTCCGGCCTCTTCGAACACATCAGAACGGTCACTATGTCTTCGGATCTAGTCTTAATGTCGGTATGAAGAGAGCTTCGTACCCAATAGTTTTTGCGAATTTTTTCGGCTGACAAAAACCCGCAAATGGCCATCGTTTCGTTGGCTGGAGGGGAAATAATGAAGGGCAAAGGGTGCCTCTGAGCGCATGATCGAATGGGGACTTTTGAGAAATGGTACTGTTTAAGGGGAGCTGTATAGGAGTTATAGAAGTGGATATACTACTAGCTTGTTGAATGACAAGGTGCGTCTGGTTGGTTAAGAGTTAGACGAGATAGTCAAGGTCAAACTCAGGAGTCGCGTTAATAACGCTACTCATGCAGATCAGTCGCGTGGAGAAAGTTTGTACTTCGTAGTTTTAGTCCTTCTCATTCTATGTGACCTCCTTCCACTGGGCTAATTCCCTTGTTTTCATTACAGTGATACAGCTATAGAAGGACTCACAATTAAATATAGCATAGGTTTCCTTGGCCTGTAGGTAGAAAGAACTTGCATGTCCCACATAGTCATAGACTCAGAGAAAACAATAAAATGAATTAAAAAATAGCTCTCAGAGTCGCGAACCTAAAATCCTTGGGAAGATTTCAGTCTCAAATAGTCAGGCACATGAACTCGGCATATTATCGTTATGTAATAGAGAGATGATAAGGGGGGAAAATGAGAGCATCTTTGCCAGCGGTGATGAGTACCTCGCAAGAGATGGATAGTTGTAAAAATTAGGTCATTAAAAATGGCTGGTTTGGACAATTTAGACATGGAGTTGAGGCAGTAGTCCGAGGAAGAATACAGATGGAAGGGATAGTATAATGGCACCTGCCAAAAGCAAATCATCGAGTCAGGAGTGACTTCATATAGGAAGGACTGGGAAAATCTTATAGGACTAATTATTTCGGAAATCTTGCCCCGGTGGGATTAAAGTTTAGTCTATAGCTGAGTGATGTGGCAGGACACTATCCGGACTTGTCTTCCAAATGAAGTCTAGATAGCATTGACACCCATGCACAATGCGGCATAAGGTTGATGGTTGAAACGTACCAGAATCCAACCAAAATTATTGCGGTACTCATCAGAGGATTTTCTTTTTAATCATTTAATGTGTATTTAGCTATAGAGCTATGACACATGACCGGTGCTATGTATACATATTGGATGACTCTTTTGACATTGGAGGCAATTATACGTTGGATTTGATTCGTAGATACCACTATAAGGTATGTTTACTTACAGAAACAGTCTACCCTCCTCCGTAAGTACCCACCAAAGGGAATTCCAAAAATTTGGTTATCCAAGCATGCCTTCATAATCCATGCATACCAGCGCCGAGAGAAAAGTGGTTGTGTTCTGCCGAATTTGAACCAGCGATCTACTGTTTCGAGTGGGATATGTATCCAAGGTATCCAGACTCTACTTGGCAGACCGACCAAGACGATGTACCACCGCACCATCCAACCATGGCGGTGTTTATAATGTCGCCTGCACTCTCGCAACCGAAGTCTTGGCACGCACAAAGCTTAATTTGTAAAAACTCCTTGCCAAAATTCCACGCCCGTTGAGATTGTATCCATCCGTCGCATCATCTTGTAAACTTGTCCTGAACCCTCTCACGTCCATCCCAAAGAACAGTCTCCCAGATTTGTGCGCCACGCTTTGCTTCCTCCGTCGGGTATAAATATCGGCGTGGGCGTGTATTTGGTGATCGGCTGAGGCCAAAGAAAGTCGGCGAGAGGTGTGATCATTGAAATGAGGATGTACTAGGTCGTACTTGTAGACTTAATGAGGCTTGGGTAGGAATCGGACTCTTTGGGAGTGAAAAAACGACGTGGTGGAGTTAATTGAATTATTGCCTCGTGGGCCAACTTGTTCGGTATTGCGAAATTTGACTGAACTTGGCTCTGGGAGAATATTTCACTCCCAGGTTCGTAGAGGGCACCACTGACAGGTGTTCAGTCTTGCCCTCCAGAACAGGAGCTGGAATCGTGGTGCACGAGGGTTGTGTGGAGGGTGACCCAGCGGGGGTTTCCGGAGCGGGCGGGAGAGGATTAAGAGCCAGCCAGGACTTGTGTCCTTCCTGGCGCATTACCCGCATTCTCTCCTTGTCTGGGCGAACAAATACTCCGTTAGTTCGGAAGGGTCTTGCAGGGCATCACGAGGAAGAGGTAGGCTTGGCTGCTCGGTTCGGAGTACATCCTGGTGCGCTACATAGTGGTCACGTGTTTGGTCGACAAGCGAACAAGCTATGGAATAAGAAACGGCCTCCCCCTAGCCTGTAACACAGTACCTTCTAAAGCAACTCCACTTCCACACATCAATCAAGATATGTCACTTTAAACTAATTTGGTAGCTACAACATAAGTGTATACTCCTCCATCATATAGCAACCATGATAACTATATCTTTTCAGCTATTTAAATTTTTGACTGAACCAAGCGTTGGGAGAATATTAAACCACATCGTTTTTTAAACTCATAGTGCATTCTGATATACAGCCGTGACTTATTGCTAACATACAAAATACTTCTAACGAATTTAACCTTGGTATTCTCCTAAGTAATTCTAATTTGACTCCATATGATCTTTTGCATGCCCTAATTCATTTAGATGAATCAAAAAACCAAGGTAATGCTGTTTTCCCCACATGTATTCCAATTAAGTCGTAGACTTCTGGATTGTGGTTGACAGCGCGGGTAGCTACTCTGTGTAAACCCGTTGTGGTATGGGCTGTAAAGCTATTATTGTGCCAAGACAAATGTACTTTCCATCAGCTGGGGTCGGACGCGTTGTATCGTGTCTACCCATGAAACTTCATAAGTACTTAGCGCTTTGTTGACCGCGTCGAGGCTGTCGTATTCCAATATTGTTAAGACACATAAGGATCTAGCGCGTTTTGATGCTCACATTAAAACATGATGGCTGATGGGAATGGAAAAGGTATATGGGAATACTGCGAGTTTGCAATCGTTCTGAGCTCATCTCTACAAAGATCTCGGGCACTTGACGTATTGAGCCCTCTCACTCCTCAATTCTAAGGAGCTACGTTAACGAAAGTACAGTTAAAAAAGGATCTTGAACTGCAAGGTGCAACTGTTGCAGATCCTGGTGCAAAGATCGATGTACAAAATGTCACTCATATAATCTCGGAAACTATTGATTTTCCTGAGTACGCCAGCGCAAGACAGCATATGATTCCGGTAGTTATACCAGACTGGATTGCACATTCTTTAATGCGAAACAAAGAAGCAGCTATCAGACCCTACACACCTGATCCAGCCCTCATATTTTCTAGTGTTAGCATAAGTTGTGCGGACATACCCTCAGGTGACAAAGATGCCATTATCGGTGCAGTCCTCTCAATGGGAGGAGTTGAAACAAACGCGCTAACGAAGTTAACAACTCATATTTGCGCCCTTACCATAGAACATCCCAAGTGTCAACAGGCGATTGAAAAGAAATTGAAGTGCAAGATTGTCTTACCACATTGGTAAGTAATCTAGAAATTCTTGTCACCAATCTAAATAATATTTACAGGTTTGATGACTGCTTGAAACTTGGAAAACGTATCGATGAAGCACCATATCTTCTACCTGATCCAGAAATATTTCGAATGAGGCCAGAAGATGATGTTCCAATGCCGCAATGTGACAGTGTTAAAGGTGCAACTTCTCCCCGACCAGATTCTCTTCTTATACCATATGACTCACACAAATTATCCGCTCGTCAACTGTCTGTCTTCAAAGGGAAAAAAATAATGATTTCCGATGACCTTCAACTTGGTCATCGCTCTAAGAAAGTTGTCGAAGATCTTATTATTGGTGGCGGCGGAGAAATTACTTACGCCGTGCATGGAGCTGACATCTTTATCTGCCACTGGCGTGATGGGATAAACTACACACTGGCCTCAAGAGCCAGAATCGACGTTGGGAACTTATCATGGCTGTACCATCTAATCGCACACAATGAATGGACTTCCCCTCTCAAGAGGTTACTTCATTACCCTCTTCCACGAAATGGGATACCTGGCTTTGAAAAATTCCGTATCACTCTATCTAATTACGGTGGCGAAGCTCGCACCTACTTAGAGAATTTAGTCATTGCTGCAGGTGCTGAATTCACCAAAAGCATGAAACAAGACAATACTCATCTCATAACTGCTCGCAAATCCAGCGAGAAGTGTCAAGCTGCTCAAGAATGGGGTATCGAGATGATAAATCATCTATGGATCGAAGAAAGTTACGCAAAATGTACATTACAAAAGCTAACAGACTCTCGGTACACTCACTTTCCACCACGAACCAATCTTGGCGAAATTATTGGACAGACATTTTTTGAACTAGATACTCTTGAGAAAATTTACTTTCCTCGAGACCCAGAATCAAGTAGTCCAGAGACGGAGACACCAAAGCAACAGTGTAAACAAACAAAAAGAAAGGACCAGGGCTCTATTGTCCCAATAACAAATCTTTCTGAGACTGAGCCTAGCGGGACAGAAACACCATTGCGGAAGATTGCCGCATCAGGACTAGCATGCCGGAATAGTAACTTCCCCCGTCTAAAGACACCGTCCAATCGTAAGGTCGAGGGAGCTAGTAATAACGACACGCCATCTTCCACTGCTAGTCGGAATGCAAAAGACAAGGCAATGTCAAAGATACACGGGCTAGCGTCAGATATAGCTTTGTATGAAAAGGAAAAGAAGCGGAAGGGAAATGTTTGGGGAGGTGATCGTGCCGCAAGTAAGATTGAGAAGCAAAACTTACCTGGCGAGAATTCCAATCCACCAGGTAAGGTTAAAGAGGCTGAATATACCGAGGAACAAGCACCACGGACGGCAAAACGAGCTAGAGTAGGACCTCCTCCCGTGGAAATCCGTTTAATTATCACTGGATATAAGAAATGGGTTCAAAATCTCCCTAAAGAGAATGCTGACACGGTAAGTCGGACTGGAGTTCAAATTAGGTTTCGCTGAAATTTTTAGAAAAAACTTCGACAGGCTGGGGTATTGATTACGTTAAATACTTGGCAGTGTACACATCTTGCAGCACCGTCCATGGTGCGGACAAAGAAGTTCCTTTGCGCTTTGGCATCTGCGCCGATCATTGTGTCTACAGAATTTATTGATGCCTGTCTTCGATTAAATAGTATACCTGACGTCAACGACTACCTGCTTAACGACGTGGAGAACGAAAGGAAATTTGGCGTCAAATTAAAGGAAGCTCTGGCGCGCGCGAAGGCCAATAAACACGGCCTGCTCAAAGATGTTCTTGTTTACTGCACTGATACCGTACCTAACAAACCCGAAACCTACAAGGATATTGTCGAAGCAAACGGTGGCACTTTCAGCCTGTACCGCGGCCGCTCTCTGTTCAAGAAGACCAACCGTAATGATGACGAGATCTCAGCTGAGCCTGTATATTTACTTTCTGGAACAAGCAAGGTGGAGAAAGACCTTTGGCCCAAATTTATCCAGATGACGCGTGATGGGAACATGATTCCCCGAATTGTCGAGACAGAATGGATCTTAGATACAGCCATGTCACAGCAAAATAAATGGGATAAGAAGTATCTTTTATACGAGGATGACTAGAATTAAAACTAACATACATTTGATTCCCATCTTGAAATTAATGAAGTGACAAGGTCAGTTAAAAAACATTCATTTATCCCTGATGAACAACTTATTTTTCTGGATTATAATCTTTCACGGTGAAGTACGTGCGCGAGAATCATCCAAGTCCTGTATTAACCTTTGATTATAGAGACAAAACCACCAGGCCATGATAGATAATATATTTCTAGTAGTCTTGCAACTACCAACTTGTTAGAGCCCTTTATAGCTGAATGCTTGGACATACCTTGAGTGGATCTTTGGAGTATAACGGTGGAGTTGTGAAAATATTCTGATGGCCAGGAGTTGTACTATGCAAAGGACTAGGCTGTTTTAAGGGATGGATGGCATAATGAAGGAGACTAGGTAATAAAGTAGAAATGACCACACTTTATTACAGTTGTCGATGGTGGCCAAAGATAGCCTCTTGTACTGTTCTCTTCAAACTCAGATTGTCCAAGATCTACCCGATCTCAGATTTACTTCCCGGGGCTCCTAGAAGAACTTGACGCCCTGTTCGTCTTCCTGGCCAAAAACCTGCGCCTTTCCACGCTTAACAAGGTACGCGAGGGCTTTCTGGAGTATTTCGGGATGCAATTTATGGAATTCTTACGATTATCAGCAATGATAAGAATCATGGGTAAGGGCGGAGGGCATACCTTGTGACATTGTAGCTTCGCTCTCCGTCAGTTCATAGAGTGTAAGAACCATGTTTTTTTGGCCCGTCTCTTCAACCTACACGGGAAGATCAGCCCAACGATCCATTGATACTGGTTAAACCACAGCCTCTATTAGGGAAAATTTTGCCCATACCCAGCTGGCTACGGCCTCGCCCCACTCCTCAATCGTCTTCCACCACACCCAGAAGACACCAGAAGCGACGTCTTTACCTTTGGTGGCGCCCACCCATTCAGCGCGCCCCTCGCGGCGCATGAATTCTACGACATCGCGTGCATCGTCAGGACTCAGGCGACGTCCAAGGCTTTGATTGTGGAAGAGCTCCGAATCAAGGGCGTCGGAGAGGGAAAGCTTGTAGAGCTTGTGGTGGCGCGCATAGGCGCGCACGAGACCCGACCATTTCTCGAGCTGCGCATGGCGCGTTGCCGCATTCGGCTGCGGAGTGAAGAAAGGCGGAAAGCCATAGACTGGCGGAAATACAAAGGGAGAAGCACCTGCTGCGACCAAGTTGGCAAGCATGATGAGGGCAAGTTAAACGTCGCCATACTTAGCTCGCCCCTTCAACGACGCAACCTTGGACCAGCACGGCTTCTCGGCTACGTCCTTTTCTCTCAGCCTTGTGCTCTGCTAACCCGGAGATAAGTGCGGGCGGGGCCGGATCGAGCTGACAGCTACGACGCAAATTTTGAGCCTTGTCCATCAAAATGACCAGTCTTCAAACGAATCGCAAAATAGTGTTCTAACATGACATTTCATCCTGTCCGAGAAATCAAAGGAGAGATTCACAGCTCAAGTCAATTCTGCAAGCCTGTCTTCCTTGCCCTCCCTGTGCCTCGGTCAGAATTCAAAGAGAAGAGAGCTGAAATTGGGGTAGTAGAGGTATCACACTCAACCTAGGCGACGCAAGGGGAGTATTTTGAAGTATTACTGTTACATCATGTGGTGTTAGCGTCAGTCACATCTTTCATCAACGTATATAGACTTTCTGGTTAGGAGAGACTAGTGAATGAGACAATCAGGTTCATACCCATTAAACAAAACTCCGGTCAGAAAGTCTGGTTGCTGATGCGCTAATACAAAAGAATGGGCCTTCAGCTGCACCGATCCATAATTGTTTGAATCCATGACAGCCATATGGTATTCTAACGTCTAAGGCAGTAAGGTTAAGCATGGTGCGCACGGACAGCTGCGTGAGTACTAATATGGATCCCTGATTTTTTTACATCATTTGAGTGTATTCAGCTATAGAGGTATGACCATGACCGGTGCTATGTATACATACTGGATGACTCTTTTGACATTGGAGGCAATTATACGTTGGATTTGATTCGTAGATACCACTATAAGGTATGTTTACTTACAGAAACAGTCTACCCTCCTCCGTAAGTACCCACCAAAGGGAATTCCAAAAATTTGGTTATCCAAGCATGCCTTCATAATCCATGCATACCAGCGCCGAGAGAAAAGTGGTTGTGTTCTGCCGAATTTGAACCAGCGATCTACTGTTTCGAGTGGGATATGTATCCAAGGTATCCAGACTCTACTTGGCAGACCGACCAAGACGATGTACCACCGCACCATCCAACCATGGCGGTGTTTATAATGTCGCCTGAAATCGGATCCCTGACCATATAAAATAGTTCTACATACACATCAATTCATAGCACTAATTAAGCATATGCTGAAATTCGTAGCCACCGAGCACTAACATTAATAATCAACCACGGAGGGCCATACTGAACGCCTGTACACGGTGTTCTCTACGAACCTGACAGTGAAATATGTCATGAATGCGCTTTTCACATTAGTAGTAAATCGTCATCCACGTAGTGTAGCATGCAGAGCCAGGGAAATGGAAACAGGTTAGTGATAAATTAGATACCACCGATCGCTACACTCACCCGTAGATCACTCCTAAAAGAGACTAGCCACGGCGCTATCTGGAAGTATGTGGGATTAGATGGGGTTTTTTTTGCATCAATTTTTAATTGCGTATGAAGCTTTCTAGCTATGACACAATATCAAAGAAAATTACAGAATAGTTGATTCAACGTAAAGGAAGAGCACTCATACCTCGGATTTCATTTGCAAGTACCACTGCGAAGTTATGGCGGCTTTTTCTTCACCCGAAGTCAACCCTCATCCGTGAATACCCACCCAGGGGAACGTCTCAAAAACCCTGAGTTATCCAGGCATGCCTGCATCACCTTTCAACTTTTCTCCGCACGATATGTGATCTGAGGTGTCTCCTGCCCAAGTGGAGTAGGTGCCCAGGCCACTCAAACCATACCAGAGAACAACACCAGGAGGCAGATCACAACACCTTCCATCGTTTGCTTGTTTTTACAGTGTTAGCTGCTCTCTCGCAAGCGAAGTCTTGGCGCACACAAAGCTCAATTCGTAAAACTCTTGCCAAAATTCAGAATTTCACGCCCTTCGAGGTAATATCCTTCTTTTGCAACATCTTGAAAACTTGCCCTGATCCCTCTAACGTCCATCCCGAAGAACTGTCTCCCAAATTTGTGCGCCACACTTTGCTTCCTCTTGTGGGTGTAAATATAGGCGTGGGCGTGTATGTGGTGGTCAACTGAGACCAGAGAAGGTCGAGGAGTGGTGTGATCATGGGAATAAGGATGTACTTGGTCGTACTTGCAGACTTGATGAGACTTAGGTAGAAGTCAAACTCGTTGGGTGCGAAAAAACGACGTGAAGGAGTTATTTGAATTATTGTCTCGTGGGCCAACCTGTTCGGTATTGCGAAATTTAACTGAACTTGGCTCTGGGAGAATATTTCACTCCCAGGTTCATAGAGGACACCGCGTACAGGTGTTCAGTATGGCCCTCCATGTGGGATTGGTTAATTATCATGTAGATAACCTGTAACATTATATAACAATAATAACACAATAAGATACCATTCGCATCTCGTAATATTTATTGACATAATCACCTAAGTAAATTCTAGGCCCCCTGAGTAGTCACAACCATATACATCACCACCCTTCAATATGTGTGTGTATGTGTGTGTATTATTGTACTACTTGAGTCTATGACTATCTAGCACATTGGGCTCCTCTCTGACCCAGGCCACACCTTGTACAGTGCTCCTGTTCTCTTTTGTCACTTGAAAGATCATTGATATATTCCCCTTGATGAATAGCCATTCAGCTCAGTATTTACCCGTGGAATTCAGCCACCTTTTCCACGGAACCTTCTACCCAAAAAAAATAAAAATGGTAGCAATGGAAACTGCGTGCGCGGGAAAAAGTCTCAAAAAACCTGCAGCCCCAGCCAGGCGAGGCCTAGACACCGGGACTACATGAGGTGCGCATATTCATCTATATCTCCCTTCTTTGTAACAGCCGAGGCCGACTTGATCCAATCCACCATCTCCGTATCGGGTGCTGGGTACGCTCCGGAAACTCATCGGATGGCTTTTCCTCCATGATCAAGGGTGAGTGACGAGTAGGGCTCCGACCCTACCATCTGATCTGATCGTGGTTAGCTTCATGATAGTGGTGATAGGGGAATGTGTTGAGAGATGAAGACGATACAGACCGCGAAAGCGATTGGGAATCCTCTTCGAAGTGAGGACTTTGTTACTCAATCTCGGCTCTGCAGACTCTACAGTGAGAGCTGGAGGTTCGTAGGGGACACCACTGACAGGTGTTGAGAATAGTCCCCCTCCACCCTTCAATAAAAAATGCGCTCTACAGAACTTAAACCATAAACAACTTTGGAAACAACAACTTTGAATCTAGTTACAAACCTCTATTGTTAAACTAACCCTAGCTCCAATTAAAATCCCCCCTCTCACAAACATTTCTCCTTCTATACACACTATTCTAAAGCCCAAGCAGAATACATCAAGCATTGCTAAACCGCGCATAAAAGAAAATTGTAATGCAGAGACATGATTCATTCATGAGTTGATATTGTTCAGACGATCATGACTATATCACAACGTCATGTACGGACACGATTCATTGTTTGTACCTGTTGTATCAACCATGACTATGTCTCAGTGATAGAAGAAACATCATTGACTAGTTACTAGAAACCTAGTCAATATCCTAAACACATAACTGAGACTAGGAGAATTTTACCGAGTAAGTAATTATTCTGATGAATCTAGATCTGGAGGGACATAATCTGGTTGCTTGGCTCGAGGTATATGAGCCTGAGCATATCATGTATAATAAACAATATAGAAATCTATCTCAATCACAATCATCATCTTAATTCATGTCAACATCAATAGCTGCAAAGGACAGTTTAACCATTTCCTTATAAAAACCGCGTCATACAATGGGCGCGTCTGCCAATGTTGGAGCTACAGGCTCAACGCCCTCCCACGCACCCCTCCAATCATCCCAATCAAGACCTCGACAATCCTGGCCCCAGCCAAACTCCTTACGAGCATGGCATCACTCTAGAATATGACGAGCTCCCAGACGAACCCATAGATGACCCGTTTGACGCGCCCAACCCATCTGGCTCCTTTAGAGAGGTACTAGGAAGAAGTGTTGCTGCTGCAGAAAGCCGAGCGAAGGAAGCTGAATCACTATTTAGCAGTATCGCCTCGCAATTGGACAATCATTGGGCCGCACCAAGTCACAACTCACTCCATGCTAATCAACGTTTGGCCCTCAAAAACTTCTGCAAAGATCTAGCTGAGGTTGCTACCCGCCACTTTGACGCCTACATAAGCGGAAAACAGGTATCAAAAACTGAACCAACTCCTGAACCTTGCCGAAATCCGCAAGCGCCGGAGTCTTTAACATACGCCAAGGTGGCTCGCCGACCCCAGGGCATCCACACCGAGAGTATATACAGTAGTAGAGAGCCAGCACGTCCTAGCCGAAAAACACAACCGCAATAACATCGCACTGACGATCGTCTGTTTGTCCGCATACCTGATGGAGATAGGCTCAGGGGTCTCTCAGTGTACGCTATCCAGTCTCACCTGAAAGCTAAGCTAGGAAACGAAGGGCGAGTTCTAGTTAACGTGCAGTCTACAAAGACCGGCTTCGACCTTTGCCCCAAAGATTGAAAAACCTCTAAATTTAAGGAAGAAATCTCGAAGGTGAGTATTTTTGATAATGTTGCAGTCGAAAGTACTTCACCGTGGACTTCATATAGGATTAATAATGTCCCACGAACGTTCGGAACCATCAACGACGAACTCAGATACTACCTTCAACCAGTCACTGCCGCTGCTATGCACGAAGCACTCTCAGCTGCCGCAGGAACAGCTCCAGTAGCCATCCTTGCGTCGCGCGATAACGAGGAGAACCCAGACTCCTCCTCAACAACATGGATTGTTCGCTTTCCAGAAAATCACAAACGTCTTCCTCGTATTCTCCTGTTTGGTTGCCGTACAATCACAAAAACTCTACCTCGGCGCTACACAGCTGCTCAGTGCAATAGATGCTGGCTACGGCATAATACCCGAACTTGTGCGTCCTCCCTCCGGTGCCGCCTATATGGTTCGGGAACCCATACTGAAAACGAGCATG